GAAATGGTCATTTGTGCCACAGAAATGGTCAATTGTGCCATAGAAATGGTCATTTGTGCCATGAAAATGGTCATTTGTACCACAGAAATAGTCAATTGTGCCATTGTTACAGACAGACACAGGTGAATTACGGTTTCTAGACCCTATCCTTTCAGTCTAGGGAACTACGAGTGAACCCCCTTGAATAACATCAAGAGACATCCAGAAGCATCATATTTCACCTCGTGAAACATGGACAAGGGTTGCAATTCGAGAAAATATAAAAGGATAATAACAGGAATGTATCCTGCTTCAGTTAGGTCCGCGATCTAAATTTCTAATTAAGATTTCCAAGTAAAATCTATTAGAACGTATCAGAGTTATTTCTATCTGCTCAGATCCAACCGAGTGGTATTGATTGGACTCGATAATTGCTTTTAGCATTAATAAAGATGTAATCATATGATTGGTTAGAATTGATTTTGTAAGGCAAAGCCTATTTGAACAACTATAATATCGATTTCCTGACGATACTTGTTTTCATAAGTCCATGCAGTCGGCTTCGATCACATCTTTGCTTACAGTAATAGTCAAAGTCTATGAGTGGAGCCGCTCCATTCTGATATTATCGGGTGTATTCTGCTGATAATAACGAAATCAGTTTTTAATCTTGCTCGAAAAAGTCAAACGTACCAAGAATGACTTAGTATCTCCATCTTTCAACTTTTATTGTAACTTTCTGAAAATGCTTGCTGTTTTTATTTATCAACTTGATCTTCACTATTTAGTTCCGGTGTCCAATCGAGACTTGATAGATGCAGATATGTATCGCGTAGTACGATATGTGATCGCATCACAGAAATATAACGAAGTTGACTTGTCCGGCAATAAAATAACACAGCTGGGCGCTCAAATTCTCGCTGAAGCTATTCGCAAAAATAAAGTAACACACATACTAAACAGTTTTTTCTCGTAGTATTACATGATTTACTCGGCTTTTTCAGACATTGACCCATCTCTATCTCGTGAACAACAGAGTTGGAGATATAGGCGTATCTCATCTAGCTGATGCACTTGAAAAGAATACGGTAATAATATATTGTTTCAATCACGTATTTCGATGAATTTCAATAGTCATTATAGACGCTCACTAGCCTGAAACTTGGAGGAAATGAAATCGAACAAAAAGGCGGAGAATATCTAGGAAATGTTTTGCGAAAGAATTCGGTAAGAAAACTATATCTATTTATCGATCATTATTCGCAAGCCGAGTATTGAACAAAAGACACTGACTACTCTACACCTCCAGAGTAATCAACTCGGGGATCCTGGCGCAATAGAGCTGGGTAATGCATTGAAGATAAATAATGTAAGAAACATTTGTAAGTTATGTGTATCGGCATTATTTGAACTCTGAAATATAGACACTGGCGAGTTTATCATTGGTCAACAATTGTGTTGAAGCAGCAGGAGCACAAGCTTTGGCTGAAGGATTAAAAGAACATTTAGTACTTCGCTGTTTATAATAGTCTGTTGAAAATTTTCGATCATTTCTATGCAAAGACACTCTATGAGCTTGATCTCTGGAATAATAAAGTCGGCGACGATGGCGCAATGCATCTAGCTACAGCATTAAAGAGCAACAGAGTAAACGAAAATCTTCGAATACCTCCTTAATATTCATATTTCTATTGCCACAGACACTTCGATATTTATATCTTGGAAAGAATCAAATTGGCGATAATGGAGTGGAGCATTTGGCTTCGGCGTTGAAGGAAAACACAGTGAGAAATATCGAAATCATTTCAAATTCCTCAAGTGTAAAATTGCATCTGTAATTGTTTGAATGTAGGCCCTCACACATTTGTATTTGCGAAAAAATAAAATTACTGCAGCTGGAGCAAAACATTTGGGTGATGCATTACAGCAGAACGAAGTAAGCGAAATCTTTCACTTTCAATAAAATGATTTTCAGCTGTTTTTATGCAGATGCTCGCTCAGTTGTATTTATTTGGCAATCAAATAGGTGATGAAGGAGTGCAACATCTGACTATGGGCTTAAAGAAGAATCAGGTAAAATCATGTCTTCTTTAAGATTTTGAATAAAATATTTTTCATGTTGTCTAAAAGCACTTAGCCGTCTTGGATGTTGGTTGTAACAAATTAAATGATAAAGGGATTGGAAGTCTGATCTCTATTTTTGAAGACGATTCAGTAAGATGAGGTTACCTCCGCTTCGGTTGTGAATCTAATTTGTTGTCTTCTATATAGGTTTTGTCAACTCTAGATATTCAATTTAATCAAATTGGAGAAAAAAACCAGGCCAAGCTGATTAGGTTAATGCATTTTCATCCGGATTTGAAAATATACTGGTGAGATCATACAAGTGGCATCCTGAACATGTAAAACATAGAGAATGAACAATACTCTTAGCTCGAGGACATCATTTTTTGAAAGTATTAATATATCACACGAAATAAAGTCAGAAAACAATACGTCATACGAATAATTGGGGTGTGGCATGTAAGGATACGAGAGCATACAGTTAGGTTTTCGCAGCATTTGATTCAAACGAACCAGGATACTACCGATTGATTGAATTTCGTAGTGTCAGAATCTTGTGAGTGTGGGTGTGGGCGTAGTTTTTTTTGTTATCAACATCTGATGCTATTGTACCACTGAAATAGATAATTATTGTAATCATTTATTAGTATATAATCTGATTTAATACAATAGATCTAAGCTAAGTAAAATATTTACAAAAGGTATTATCTACATTAAAATATGATGCATTCACACACTCTCCTCAGTCATAAGGATTGTTCAGGACTGTTGTTAGAACTCTGTTACATAATAAGTCATGAGGATGATTCCTCGTCTCTTATAAGTGCTGTCAGATATCGCCTTGCGTTATAATGGTTTCGTTCTTTCCTTCTTTCTTTCTTTCTTCCTTTCGTTTCTCTTAGATAGTTTGTGAACACCTTGACTCATCTTGATTTCTTTATTCTTGTTGTTCTCTCTTTTTTTTTATCTTCTTCAACAAAAGAAGCGCGTTCGGTTGTTTGTTTTCTTTGTCGACACAGTCGAATCACTTTAGGTTGTTTGAAAAATAAAGATTGATTCGATTTTTTTCTCAGTTAGGAGAAAAAAACAAAACTCATTAATATATTTAACTATATCAGCACAGTCAATTTTGTTTTTGTCGTTGCGTCCACCGTCGACGTTGCTTTTCATCAGTCGATAAAATATTGGTATGGCCTTGTTGATTCGATACACGGATAGAATATTCTATCAAGCGAACCATATTTTCCGAGTATTTGAATGTATCATTCATTCGTATGGTCTGCATAAATCTGCGAAATCGATCTATTGATTTAACGGTTTTTAAGTATCATTGAGAACTTTTCCACAACAGCCGCTGGTGTAAGCCAATGCATACGATCTAAATGTCTAAAACAATACGTGCATAGTATAGAGTATTGATAAAGATGGAATAAATGTAAGTTTCCTAACCAGGCCAGAAAATATGCACCGATTTTATTAGGAAAATAATAAGAACTAGACATGTTACAGTGAGATGTCGCTCACTGGCACATTTATATATATCCTCTATCTTTTCTCACCTATATGTTTTCTGATTCGCTTTTCCTTTTCGTATATATATGTATATGGATTTGGATGTTAGGGGCATAGAATAAAAAGGATCAGATCATGTGCAAGGACACACTCTAACATGGCGACCCTGGCAAACAACATCATTTACACTTAAACATTTACAAAAAAAAACGAAAAGATAGACTATTTTTAATTGATTAACTATAATATATTTATTACGGCTACCGGAACGAGATCATACGTGACGGATCACAACCAAGAATTAATTCCATATACGGTTATAACATATCCATCATCTCGGAAGTTATCCGGCTTAAAACAAAATTCACAGCGTGTTACAGTGACGTCGCTAGTATACACACTCGACATATATGTATTATCCTCTATCATCTTCTTTTATCTTCATTTGTCTTTTCTCTTTTCTCTTCTCTCTTTTCCTCTCTCTTCTCTTGTCGTTCTCGCTATATATTTCATGTAACATCGAATAAATGACATTCTTGTTAAATAAAGTTAACGTACATGTTGTACGTACAAGCATACTTCTCTCACATATATCTCACACTATAACATTTGGCGACCCTGCAAAACAACATCAAGCAATAATAATAATAATAAAAAAAATTTTAACATCCAGCAAGAATCAATCATTACTTAATTCCATCAAGTTATAATTCATAACAAATAGAGCCTCTCATGAAAGAGACTCGTTCATATATTCATATAAAAGCCTCTGCATATAGAGACTTGAATTTTATTTTTCCACAAATAAAATTATTAACTGATATTAAACATTGTAATTTATTTATAGGTGAGAAAACCTTTTCTAAGCAATGAAATTATTCATTTAAGGACTATCAGGAATACTTTTGAGTAAACCGTATAAATTTCAAACAAGAAACTAATATTGCAAAATTATTTTTTGGATACCAAATTCTACATTGAGAGGAGCAGAAATCAACGTAAGGTAAATCAAATAGCTTTGTTGGAATAAACAATTGTAAACAGAGATTCTAAGAAGAATTTCGTTCATATTTTTTTTTACATTATATCGATTCATACACTGATCCAATTACATTAACAATAATCATTTCTCATATAATACACGCAAAACGGCTACGGGAACAAGATCAAAAATCAAGAAAAATAATACAAAGCTATTACCGCACACGATAATTACAAATTCATTATCTCGTACAATATCTAGAAATAATTCTTCGATCAATTCGATATCATCTTCGAATATAAATCAAATGACTGATACAACATTATTAGCTAAAGCGCGGAAAGCTAGATTCGATGATCTACCAAATTTTTCTGGACATTCTTCTGAGGATGTCGAACGTTTTTTAAAAAGCATTAAAAATATTACAAAGGCTAACGATGAATCAGAAAATCATGAAATCCTCGAAATCGTTCGTGGGAAATTAATTCAATCAGCAGGATTATGGTTCGATAATCATGAACATGAATTTAAAAAATGGTCAGATTTCGAAACTGCATTTCGAAATCGTTATTTTTCATCCACAATGATTCATAAAAAATTTGATTTATTAAAACAACGAAAACAATTAGATAACGAACCAGTTACATCGTATTTTGATGATGTCGTTAATCTATGTAAAGAAATTGATCCAACTATGTCAGAACAAATTATGATTAAACATTTGATGAGTGGAATTAATCCTGATTTTCAGAAAGAACTTTCTCGGCGTGAATCATCTATGAATACATTAAATGAATTTTTAAAATATGCTAAAATCGAACAAGATTTATATGATACATTTGAAAAATTTCATCGATTATCAATAGGGTCTACAAAAACAAATTTTGAATTTAATCATCAACAAATTCCTTCATTGACCAATATGATTGAACGACCAAAACAACAATATCAATTTATGAATAAAATTAATCCTTATTCACATTCATTTACAACACAGAGATCCGATTGTAAACGGAACTCGAATTATCAATATGAACCTCGATCAACATTTACACCTGATAAAAACATTCAACATAATTCACACAAACATGAATTTAAATATAAAAATTATGTTAATAATCAATTTAGATCACAACAATCATTTAAACAATGTAGGATATGTGGGCGACAAAATCATCGAACAATTGATTGTTTTTATAAACAAACAAATGGATGTTTTAACTGTGGTCAAGATCATACTGTTCGTGATTGTACAATGCCTCCAAGTTTTCAATAACTGGGTCACGCGATGGCTGTGTTCCCAGTAAATTTATTATGCCATCACCAATAACATCTTTTCCCGTTTACATCAAGATCCGTGTTAATGATCAACCAACCGAAACAATTGTTGATACAGGATCCGCCATATCAATTATTCGTTTAGATTTTCTTAAAACCATTCATCACAACAATTTGATTTACCAAACCAGAACATGTCAAACAGCAAATTCAACACCTCTTAATATTATCGGTCACATTAAATTAGAAATAAAAATTAAAGCTGCCTCAACTTATGTCATTGCATATGTCGCAACAAATCTAATTACATCTATTCTTTTAGGCAATGATTGGATTAATTCGAATCATGTTCATCTCTTTGGCGACCAAAACCAATTAACTATTCCTGATCAACATGGCCAATTAAACATAATCCCATATATAGAACCTACATGTATTAATTATCCAGCTCTTTTGATTCATCAAATTACTATTCCTCCATATTCACAAGCATTAGTCGATATTACATGTAAAGTTAATGATGCTAATGATTTAATATTTGAACCATATGAGCATCATATATCGCAATTTATTTTGATACCACATACATTATTGAACATTAATAAACATCAAGCCAAAGTACTACTTATAAATGCTCAAGATCGACAACAAATATTACCAAGAAATACACGAATCGGAACTATTTCTCATGAAACAACATATTCTATATTTACAACAACGGACTCTCCAACAACACAAAATTATTTTTTAAATGAAAATCTTCAACGGTCATCTCGACAGTATAAATATTCTAAAAGTGGAGCTGTCGTAAACAAAAAAGACAACTCGCATTTAACAAAATTGAATATTACTTGTGATTTATGTAATGAACATTTCTTATCTGGAAATGATCTACAGAAGCATTTACGAG